GCTGCTGGCGGGCCCCGAGGTGAGGCAGGCAGGCGGTGGGAGCCCAGGGGCTGCCGAGCGGGAGGCGGGTGGGCGGGTACCCGGCCTCACCGCTCCTCCCCACCCGGCGCCCCGCCAGCGCAGGTGCAGGCCAAGCTAGAGAACGCGGAGGTACTGGAGCTGACGGTGCGGCGCGTGCAAGGCGCACTGCGGGGCAGGTCGCGCGGTGAGTAGCGGAGGGGCGCCGGGAGCGTTCGCACAGCCCGCCCCTGCCCGGACCTAAGACTTCCCCGCCCGGCGCCCCTGTGCTATCGGGGCCGACGGCTCCCCCCGCCCCCGGAGTAGGGCACGCCCATGCATCTCCTTGGTGAGCCCCGTCCTCATGGGCCAGGACAGGGCAGTCCTGGCTCACCTGGCCAGGTGCGATTCTCTCTCTCCCATCCCCGCGCGCAGGGCGCGAACAGCTGCAGGCGGAAGCAAGCGAGCGCTTCGCCGCTGGCTACATCCAATGCATGCATGAGGTGCACACGTTCGTGTCCACGTGCCAGGCCATCGACACCACCGTGGCCGCCGAGCTCCTGAACCACCTGCTGGAATCCATGCCGCTGCGCGAGGGCAGCAGCTTCCGGGATCTGCTGGAGGACGCCCTGGCCGGGCCTCCCGGAGCCCCTAGGCGAAGCGGCTGGCTCATGGGAGGGGCCCTGGGGTCCCCGCTGCCCAGCCCTCCGGGCCCCGGGGACGACATGTACTCCGACCTGGAGGAGGCCCTCGAGGCGGAACCGAGCCGCACCCTTGCGGAGAGGCCAGACTCCGTGCCCGGGGCCCTCAGCAGCCTGACAGCTGCCCGGGTCACCCAGAGCGTCTGGAGACCTTGGTGACCAATGCCAGGCGAGGGCCTGTGGGGCTGGGCCTGGCCTTCTCGTGCTCTGGTCACTCCTCCCTGAGTTCTAGATGTGGGCCGGGTCCGAATGTCTCCCAGGTCTGCCGGTACTCTCTCCAGTGGGCATCAGTCCAGCAGCCCTTGGATGCCCAGCGAGGCCCCTAGTCCTGTTCCTTAAAGGAGTAACTTCTGTGGACCCAAGGCCCGGTGGGGGGAGGATGGGAGTCACAGGGGCCAGGAAGGATCGGGCAGAGCTATCAGGGCTGTCTGGGGTTCGGCCCTCCCAGTGTTCTCAGGCTCTGTGTGGGTTGGGGGGAGGCGGGACAGAGGTGACCAGAGTGGTGCTGAGTCTCTCCTCCTTGCTGAGCACTAGTGTCCCGGCAGAGGGAGACCTCAGGCTCTGGCAGCCTTGTCCTGAGTAGAGGTTTGAACTTGCCACTTCAGCCAGGACACAGGGGAGGCAGGTGCAGCATTGCACACAGCTGTGGAACAGACTTCCTGTACATCTGGCATTTAGCACACTTGAGTTTGTGTATCAGGTTACCATCAAATGTTCCAATCTATTAAATAAAGGATTTTGGAGAGTTAGTTACCCTTTTGAAGTATTACTAAATGATGTGTCATTAATGTGTCAAATGTATGAAAACTAAATTAAGCACATTTTCCTGTGTCTAATGCTGGGGGAGTATTTTTAAAGTCTCTCACCCTCTGTCAGCAAAGTGAGTAGTGTGATGGCAGTGGAGACGGGTCACCCCATGGCACGTCTCAGAGTGGACAGTGCTTCCTCCCCCGATTGCTGGGCAGTTACAAATGGGCTTCGCCTGTGGGTCCTTGGGCCTGGCCCGCTTCCCCTGGGACTGCATACAGCCTGGAGATGGATGCCATCGTGCAGGCTTTGTCTCCAGAGTAACCAAACGACAGGGAAACAGCCTGCCCTGGACCACTCTGCTTCCTGAGCTCCGGGAATAAACTAATGCCTAATTGCCAGCCACGTGGTTTGCAAGTTTCCTTCAAAGACCTGACCTGTGTCAGGATCCATGAGCATGATGTCAGTCTACTTGTGTTAGGTTGTCACTTTTCTGGCTGAAGAGGGAGTTTCCACCAGTGCCAGTGACTTCAGGGACAAGGAGACCCACCCAGTTCATAGCTTGAAGTGAAAGCGCCATGGCTGCAGGCGACTTGGACTGGAGGTCAACCCAGGCCCAGGAGGTCAGAAGCCTTGAAAGGAGTGACAAGATGGCAGCTGGGGTATGGGGAGACTGCCCCCTCAGGCTGGGTTGGGGCCTGCAGCTCACATGTGATCAGTTGACAGCAGCAACTCATAGGTAGCCCAGCCTCATCTGCTCCAGGCCCCCAGAGCAGCTTGTTCTCACTTTGGATGGGTAGTGCCTAGGCCCAGGGGGAGGTGTGACAGTTTAGGATTGACACCTGGGTCCCCTCTCTGGTTATGTGCCTTTGCTTGTAGAACATCTTTCCCAAGAGCCCTTTTACAAAGGCCCCCAGCAGGTCCTGGCGTGTTTCACACTGGCTCTCCTGATTCAATCTTAGATCTCAGTCACCAGGCTCTAACCAGATGAAGCTTAATTTTAGCGACAAGATGAGTTGTTCAAGGGGTGGAGAAGGGGAGGCAGGTCCATAAGACAGGACCCAGAGGATGGAAACATTCCTGGGATTTTAATTGCCCCAGAGGTGGTTATAGGATGTGTCTACAGGGACACAGATGAAGAATAGTCCCACCCGTGAGACCGCTATCCCGTGGCTCCCAGCAGCACCCAAAGGTCACTGATGAACTCTGGTGCCATTGGAACAACTCCATACCCACACTGTCACCTCCTTCACTGCATTTGCCTTCTGCGGTTGCCATAACGTGGTGGTTTAAAGCATCACAAATGTGTTCTCTTGCAGTTCTGTGGGTTAGAAGTCTGATGTAGGATTCACTAGGCTAAAATCAAGCCTCCTTTCCGGAGGATTCAGGGTGACTCCATTTACTTTTTTTGCTCTGCTTCAGAGGCTGCCCACCGTCCTTGGCTGGTGACCCCTTCTCCCGCCTTCAAAGCCAGCAACATTGCATCCATCTGATTTTTCCACAGCCCCAGGTCCTTCGACCCTCCTATGTCCCTCTTCCTTCTATTTTTAGGAGCCCTTATGATTACACTGAGCCCACCTGGATGGTCCAGGATACTCTCCCTGTCTTGAGGTCCTTAATCACATTCGCAGAGCCTCTTTTGCGGTGTGAGGTATTCACAGGTTCTGGGAATGAGGATGTGCCCCTCTCCTGGGGGGCCCGTTATTCTGCCGACCACACCCACCTGCACCTCTGCCCAGGCACTCCACCTACCACCGCGATGCCGTCCTCCCAAGTGGACAGTGGGACCTGACCTCTCTGACTGCGCTCTCTCCACTGCATCAGGCATCTCGCCTCCCACCGGCCCATTCTCATCATCCCGCAAATATGTGGCGCCTCCATGTGGAAAAAAGAGGGAGAACACCTCCCCGGCCAGTGTACCGTCAGCCTCCGCCTCATTTCTCTGCGTTAGAGCAAAATACATTGTCTACACTCACGACCTCCGCTTCCGCACCTCGCTCCCTTTCCTTCTCCTCCAGCCAGGATAATGTTCCCGCCCCGCCACTGATACTGCCCTTGTCAAGATGTCCGGTGACATCCACGTTTCCAAATCCAGCGGCCAGTTTCTAAGTTTCAGGGTACTCCACCCTACAGCGAAGCACCCCCTCCGCCTGAAACTCTCCTCAAACTCAAGAACAGCCACTCCCCAAGTTGTCCCACCTCACGGGCCATCCTCAGTCCCCTTTACTAGATGCCCCTCTCCTGCCAACCTCCCAATGTGGGCAGGCAGGCCTCCCCATCACCCCCGCCATCTATCCCATATGGCATGTGGCCTGTCCCATCCGGACGCCTCCATCCTAAGCCCATGTCCAAACTTCTTGGCCTTCTTACATCCTATCTATTCAATGTCTCCACTTAGATGCGTCACAAACCAGAGAAAAAGCACGACTGACTTCACCCCAAAAAGCGCTGTCACTGCCGCAGTCTTTGCCACTTCACGGCACCCCATTGATTAGGCAAAAAAATCTAGAAGTCCCCCGCCATTTCTTTCTTTTTCTGTCGGCCCTCTCCCACTCAATCAAGTCCATGAGCTCTACTTCCAAATCGTGTGTCATCTTTCCCACCCACCGCGTCCAGGCACCCTCGTCTCGTCTTTGACTTGGACTTGGGTCCCGGATCCAACTCGCCTGCCCACTTGCACGCGGGGCGCCTGACCTGCGGGCCGCCGAAGTACTCGGGGGCTCTGGGGACGGCGTCTTAGAGCCGCGGGGCCTCCTGGGAGATGTAGTTCCCAGCCTCCGACGTCCTTTTGTCCAAGTCGGCTGCGGCCCGAGCCCGGACTGCGACTCTCGGAGGCACCCGGGACGGAGGCCACACCCTCCGCCGCCGCGAGCCCCGAGCCCGTGGCCGACGGTGCCAGCCGAGTTTAAGGACGGCTCTGCGCCCCGCCCAGGCTGGGCCGTGGCCCCTCCGACATCCCCGGGACCACGAAAGGAAGCGATGGCGGCGTCAGCGCCCCCCAGCTGCAGCCTCGCATTTACGCGACGGGAGGCCAAGGCTAGAGGGCTCCGCAGCGGGCCGGCGTGCGGGCAGTCGTCTGCGTTGGGTCCAGCCCAGGGCCACTGGGACGGGCCCACAGCGAGAGACCGGGGCCACCGACCGCGGGTCACAGGCGGCCTGCACGTCGGGAGTACTAGAAGCTCCCAGGCGGTTCGCAAAGGGGACCCAGAGCCTACGGCGACTGATGCTGAGTCCGCAGGGGGCCGTTTCGGGCCGCGGATGGAAGCAGGTGTCTCGAGGAGGGAACAGGAGCCGTGCCAAGCTTGCTGACCATGCCAGAGACGCAGGCAAGGCTTTGCTCAGCATTTACTCTACAGATGCCGCTGAGCACCCGTTACATCACGGGTCACAGAGATGAGGCTAACCCAGACCCCTGCTGTCGCGGAAGTTGCATTCTCTTAAGATGAGCGAGAGCCACAGGCCACCGCCAACCGCCCAGAGGGTAGACAAAGGCCTTGCTTGGTAGAGAGCAGCCAGGGAAGCCCAGAGCCTGTCGCTGCGTTCAGATGGACCTGGGGAGAGGAGGCGTGAGGATTTAAAATCCCTCCTCCAGGGAGGCCCAGGCTTTTGGCTCTTCCATCCGTGTGTAACAAAAATTGCCCTCCCTTAAAGATGGTGGTGCACTTGACTGTGCCTGTCCTGCTCCCATTCGTTGCCCTGCTATGCAGTGTCAGTGGATGACGCTTGGGGCACCACCACCCTCTCCGCCCCAGGTCCTGCCCCACCTGGGAAAATGCGTGGACCCTTAGACGTCTCCCAGGGTCTTGCCTCCCCTCGCAGTTGAACTAGCTTCAGAACTTTAGACTCCTACCTCTGTCTTGTTTAGACCTCACCGACTTCTAGTTACTGTCCTAGCGTTTCCCGCACAGTCAAGTTTATCGGAAATAGTCCGCGTTCTCGTCTTCGTCTCCTCGCCTGCTCGCTCCTCCCAGAATTTCAGCGTGGCCACGTCTCCTACTGTTCTACTGAAGCATCTGGCAGTTTCCAGTGAAGTCCTAATTGCCCAGTAGACTCCAGTTTTCATCTTACCTAAATGGTGCCGCATTTGACACCATCTGTAACCTCCTGCTTCTTAAAACACTGTTCTCTGGTTTTGTTGCTTCCTCTTCAACCATCCCTTCTCAGATCCCAGAGACGCCCTTCTCAACCCGCCCCTTAAATATTGCTGTGCCCGCGTCTCTTCTTTCCTTGGCCTTCGTAGTTCCTGACTACAATCCGTGTGGTCTCCATGGCCTCTCCTGCTGGACTACTGACCCAAGAAATGACTGGCAGCCCAGGCCTCCCCGGAGCTCTAGTGTACCCACTTCTCCCTAGTTGGCACCTCTCAGATGTGCCACGGGTACTTCAAACTCAGGAAGTTCAACCTGAACTCAGCTGTCATGCAGAACCTGCACCTCCTTTCATGCCCTGGCTCCCCGAGAGCAGCAGGGCCACCCTCCAGCACTCAGGGTGAAGCCTGACCTGCAGGGAGACGCCTCGTTTTCCTTCATCCCCCGCCAGGCAAGCAGTGTCCTGGAACCGTCAATCTACTCCTTTCACGGGTTTGATGAATGAGATCGCGTCTTACGCCTCGTCCCGTTGGGTCTGTCCCTGCCACTGGGTCCTTACTTCAGGTTCTTCTTTCTCGCCTGAAGAATGGCAGTGGTCATTAAAGAAACTCTAGGCTTCTAGTGCATCTAGTCTTGAAGAGGAAATTTCAGGATTTTCATTAAAAGCGAATCAGCTTTTTTGGCTCTGCTTCTGTAAACGTGCTTGCTGCGTGCAAGAGCTCACTGCAGAGCTCACTTGCACCTTGTCCTACTCGCCTTTTGCTCAACAAATGTAATCGTTTGTACTGTTTGTACCTTCAGCAGCTCTGTATCTGTTGGCAACCTGTGACAGCTCCCGGCCTTACCAATGTTACTACTTGTAGTCTCCATAGCAACTCTTGTCATTTGTAATAGTTTGAGTTCAAACTGACCAATCAGCTTGTGTAAA